AGTACAGTATGTTCTCATAGAAATTGTAGAGTTCGTTACAATTAAAAACTTATTGAGTATTCTATGCACATCATTATCATTCTCTTTGTCTCCTTCCTCACCATTCGTTGTTCCTGTTCCCTTGTGTCCATATACATTCGTTTAGGTGTGTGTACACACCCAATTGTATTGTGAATTAAAGGGGCGATAACGATCATGGTCACCCAATTGTATACGGGGTGTTCTAAGCTTCAGCTCTTCATGTGTTTTGCCTCCATTGTTAACATGAGCCAAAAAAGCAGCATGGGGATAGGAAGAGTATGCGGGCAAGTACTATTTGATATTTGAACACTGGCCTGGCAGTAGTGCAGTAGGCCAGTATGCCAAGCTCCTAAGAGACAATAAAGCAAATGTTTATTTACTTTTTTTTTAACAAATCGTTGAGAGTTGACCTTTTTCTGCTGGGAAGTATAATACAGCATTATTAAGGGATCATATTCGAGGGTAGTCGTGAGTTTATACTACTAACTCTGGGTAGTCGTGAATGTGGACTACTAACACAGCAAAAAATATTTAAAGTATGTATGTGTGTGTGTAATATATATATATATATATATATATATATATATATATATATATATATATATATATATATATATATATATATATATATATATATATATATATATATATATATATATATTATATATATATATATATATATATATATATATATATATATATATATATATATATATATATATAATTATATATATATATATATAATATATATATATATATATATATATATATAGATAATGTACCTAGTAGCCAGAACGCAGTTATCAGCCTACTATGCAAGGCCCGAATTGCCTAATAAGCCAAGTTTTCCTGAATTAATATATTTTTTCTAATTTTTTTCCTATGAAATGATAAAGCTACCCATTTCATTATGTATGAGGTAATTTTTTTTATTGGAGTTGAAATTAACGTAGATATATGACCGAACCTAACCAACCCTACCTAACCTAACCTATCTTTATAGGTTAGGTAGCCGAAAAAGTTAGGTTAGGTTAGGTAGCTTAGGTTGTCGAAAAACAATTAATTCATAAAAACTTGGCTTATTAGGCAAATCGGGCCTTGCATAGTAGGCTGATAAGTGCGTTCTGGCTACTAGGTACGACATATATATATATTATACACACAAAAACAACATAGATGTGACGAAACACTTCATTTCAGGGATAGGTAGCCTAGGTAACCCAGGATATGTAAGACCGTCGGGAGAAAACCTATTAGTATACACTGTGTAAGTAACCGACAGCATCTGATAAGAACAGTGATTCAAGTAAACAAAATAGCAATGATACTAAAAAGTGTGCATCGCAGAAACTAGCATCTTCACGGCAGAACTTTATGCTATTTTGTAAGCTCTTCGACATCTGTCTCGCTGTCAATATTGCTTTGTTGTTGAAGGAGTCTCTGGGGGGAGTCCCAGAGAAGGAGTCCTTTAACCTATTTCATCCTGTGGTAGTCGCAATTCAACAATGGCTGTTTCTTATCCCCAGCAGGTTTAAGACAGTGGAGTTTTGCTGGGTTCCCAGCAACATTTTGATGTGGTGGAGGTAGACTCCATACACGTCTTTAAATGTTGATATGATAGAACCCAGCAGGCTCAGGAATCTGTACACCAGTTGAGAGGCGGGACCAAAGAGTCAGATCTCAACCCCCCCCCCCCCGCAAGCACAACTAGGTGTGTACATTGGTGTGTCCTTAAATGAGCGTGTTTATTTACTTTTTTTAAGAAATCGTTGAGAGTTGACTTGCCGCTAGGGAAGCTATCCGCACTTGTCCCATCTCCCATTAAGGTATCTCTTATTCCAACTTCTACCCAGTTATTCATTCCACAATCCTTGCCGACTGGCAGGGTTGTTGGTCTTCTGTTCCTGGTAACAAACTGCGTTCTCTTAAAGAGTAGTGTGTCCCTGTGGCCTTCCTCCTACCATCGTAACCGGCGATGGGAAACAGCTCTGGCGAGGTTAGGTATTGGCCATACACGTTTTAACTGACGGGCACTTAATGGAGCGCCGCTCTGCTCCTTATTGTCCAAACTGCATTGTCCCTCTTACAGTCGTGCATATCCTTGTTGAGTGTCCTGACTTCCAGGACGTGCGTGTCCTGCTTCCCGACCGTCCCTCGCAGTCACTTGTCCCTAGATAGAATCCTTAGTGAACCTTTGATATCGTTCGTCTTATGTGCTTTTGTTCTCGTATTGGCATCCTTATAGTGATGTTTAGCGCCTTTTGAATATCCTACAACTTTGTTGGTGCTACATAGTCTCCCCAGTTTGGTGCCTTCTTTTGATAATTACTTACTTGCATCTCGCAGGGCGTTGTAAGTCATACGAGGCATGTCCTTACATAGTTGTACTAACCTAATTGTGCTTGCGGGGGTTGAGCTTCGGCTCTTTGGTCCTGCCTCACAACTGTCTATCAACTGGTGTAGGTTCCTGAGCCTACGGGGTTCAATCATATCTACACTTGAAACTGCGTATAGAGACAGCCTCCACCACATAACTTCCCAATGCATTCCATTTATTAACTACTCTTGACATTAAACAAATTCTTTCTAATGTCTCTATGGCTTATTTAGCCACTCAATTTCCGCCTGGGTCCCCTAGTGCGTGTGCTCCTTGTGTTAAATAAACTGCCTTTGTCTACCCTATCAGTTCCTTTGAGAATCTTGTATGTGGGGATTATGTGCCCCCAACTCTACTGTTTTCCAGCGACGTGAGCGTGTAAACCACGGCAGTACACGTAGACCACTGCGGTAGTTCCCTCAGTCTTTCCTGTGATCAGTAGCCTATTGTTGACCAGACCACACACTAGAAGGTGAAGGGACGACGATGTTTCGGTCCGTCCTGGACCATTCTCAAGTCGAGTGTGACTTAAGAATGGACCAGTCTCACAATCTACTTGAGAATGGTCCAGGACGGACTGAAACGTCGTCGTCCCTTCACCTTCTAGTGTGTGGTCTGGTCAACATACTTCAGCCACGTTATTGTGACTCGTCGCCTGCATCAGTAGCCTACGCTGGCAAACTTAGCGCGCCTGGTGAACGTCGGGAGGAAGCTACACAAACACAACCCACTTTCATTTCATATTTCGTGAAAATCTCAGTACGGGAGGCAATATATCAATGCCAGTATGATGCTGGCTACCTTCCACCTGTCTGGCAGTGCTCCCGTTTACAGTGTTATGCGAGTAGCCTGCTCCATACAGCTGTCACTTCACGCTTCAAAGTTACAGTGCAAATCATCGATTCCCTCGTACCAAGTTTGTTTTATTCCTCATTTGTTATTTCAATATTCTTCAACACCTCGTTGACAGCTTTGCTTCTCCCAGATTAGCCATTAGTCATACATCATGCCACCTCCGCGGGGTCGCTAGGCCCCGAAATCATCTCAAGATAACCTCAAGATAACATAACCACTGCAGTTGACAACACCTCATTAGAGTTTTCAGGTAATACGCAATTGTAATGCCATAAAGTATTCATAGACCACTGTACAGCAGAGTACATGTAGACCACAGTACATCATACAGTACACGTAGACCACAGTACAGCATAGAGTACCCGTAGACCACAGTACAGCATAGAGTACCCGTAGACCACAGTACAGCATAGAGTACACATAGACCACGGCACAGCATAGAGTACCCGTAGACCACAGTACAGCATAGAGTACCCGTAGACCACAGTACAGCATAGAGTACCCGTAGACCACGGTACAGCATAGAGTACCCAGACCTTTCTAGTGAATGTTGGCTAAGGTCTGGTCACCCCGCGCCCAATTCGCCTGATGCTGGTACAGTACTTTTTGCTTGCCACCCTTTCAGACAAAAAAATATCTATTAATAGACTTGACCGGTTTACCGGGCCATTTTAACACGAATATGAAGTCTCCATAAATGTAAGAATGTTTATGTTATTGTGAAGGAGGATGAGCGGGAGAGACTATGGTTGACCTGTTGCTCCTACACTCCCTAATTTTTGTCTACGCTTACAACCCTCACAAGTTTCAGCCCCGCTCCTGTGCCAGGTAAGTCCATCGCGGGCTCACCATAGCCCGTGCTACTTGGAACTTTTCTTTAGTTCCCAGTAGCTGAATCTTAAACAACAACAGCTTATAACCCGCTCAGTAAAAGCTCTGTTTTCCATGCAAGAATCTTGTTGAACCATGTACTGTCGAGCTATTTGAATGTACTCTTGTGTACTACCTATATTGGTTATAAATCAGTGTTTTCCTTGCTACTTCAAAACATTGTTTGGGTCTCGAACACATTTGTATTTAATTTCTTGACGACCACTACAAAATCATTGTAATTTGTTTGTCAACAAAAAAGGTCAGTATGTTATTATGAGTGTATATTATTATTTGAGTTCCAAATTAAGGTAATATTTTAATTGAAGGCGAGTGATGTTGGTGAGCTGCGTATGGCAACATTGTCGCGTCTCCGCCACTGACGGTACGCCGCCGTCCGAACACCACTACTTCACCTATTATCCCATTCTAGCCTTACTTTTCCGTCGGCGTACCACATGTATAAATATATATATATATTTTTACAGAATACATATTTGAGTTCACTGAAAACACCTTTCCTCGCGTTTTGTTTCCATCAAGGGAAGGTAAAATATGGTATTGAATGAACTATATCCAAAATTTTAACACCGAATTGTGTATGGATAGTATTGTTTCGGACACATTCCACCTGTTTACCCGGTTCCCGGTCGAGCGGACGCCGGCCTGTCCCCCCCCCTCTACTTAGATATAGATTTATATGCCAATTATCTATGTTTATATGTCCCACGATGCTATATATATATACCAATGAAACCTTTACACGACCGTAGATGTAAAGAGTAAGAGGTGAGGTTAGATTTAATGAAGAGTTAAGATTAAACTCGTTCTGTGGTAGCGGTGGTGGGAGGCTCGCTGGCCAGCCGGCACCCGGTATGAACTCCAGTTCAGGTACAACCTCCGGCGGCGGCTCCACGCTCCCCTGCGCCACGCTCACAGAAACACGTGATCTCTCTAGTGCTGTGTTAGTGAATTAGTTGATAGTGTCATTGTCCCGAGTGAGAAGCTGGGGGTTTGGTGCCGTAAACCCGCTTTAAAGTCTTAAAGACTTCTTCTTGGAGCAGTTAGCTGCACTCGAGGTAAGCAAGTCTTTGTTTACATGTATATTTGGGGCTGTATCTCTGTCCTCTTTGGCTGGTACATAGAAGTATGAGTTACAAAAGAATTGGGGAACAGTTGGTTGGTGTTCAGTAGGTGAAAATCGGGATTGTTTTTGGTTCAGAAATACGGAGACTTAATAACGTACGAATGTCATTTTGCCTTCGTTCATCAGTGTATGATGAAGGTTATAGAGCATCACTCACTCTCCCACTCCTTCCTCATACTACTCCCTGCTATATCACCTGTCTCACTCACACTCCTCCTTCCTCATACTACCTGCCTCACTCACACTCCTTCCTCATACTACTCCCTGCTATATCACCTGTCTCACAATCCTTTCTCATACTACCTGCCTCACTCACACTCCTCCTTCCTCATACTATTCCCTACTATATCACCTGTCTCACTCACACTCCTTTCTCATACTACCTGCCTCACTCACACTCCTCCTTCCTCATACTATTCCCTACTATATCACCTGTCTCACTCACACTCTTTCTCATACTACCTGCCTCACGCGCACACTCCTCCTTCCTCATACTACATTCTGCCATCGCACCTGTGTCCGTCACCCTTACCTTCCTCACACTACAGCCTACCATCTCACGTGTCTCCTACACTCGCTACCGTGATCTACACCTTGCGAGCCCCACACTACACCCTTACACCTCGTCTGTCTCCCCTACTCTCACCCTCACCAACCTTCACCCTGCTATCGCACCTGTCTGCCCGACATTCAATCTTTCTCGACCTAGAACCTCGTAGTCCTGAGGTGCCGGGTTCGATCCCCGGTGGAGGCGGAGACAAATGGCCAAAATGTTTCTTTCACCCTGATGCCCCTGTTATCTAGCAGTAAATAGGTACCTGGGAGTTAGACAGCTGCTACGGGCTGCTTCCTGGGGTTAGAGGCCTGGTCGAGGACCAGGCCGCGGGGACACTAAGCCCTGAAATCATTTCAAGATAACCCTACATTCCATCTCGCTTGTTGTTGTTGTTAAAGATTCGCTACCTGGAACAAAAAGTTCCAAGTAGCACGGGCTATGGTGAGCCCGTAGTGGACTTTTTTTCGCCTGTGCACCACACTTTCCTCCCCACTCTACACTGACTCAATACACACCTCTCTCATTCACTACACTTGTCCCAAACACCACTCTATGATGAGCCATAGAGATATTAGAATGAATTTTGTCAGTGTCAGAGTAGTTAACAGATGGAATGCATTATAGGAAGTGATGTGGTGGAGGCTGACTCCATACACAGTTTCAAGTGTAGATATGATAAGAGCCCAGTAGCCTCAGGAATCTGTACACCAGTTGATTGACAGTCGAAAGGCGGGACCAAGGAGCCAGAGCTCTACACCCTGTACACAACTGTCTCACACACCTGTTGTCTGTTTCCAGGGTTGTTCTCTTCCATCAATCTTTTCCGTCTGTTGATAAATTGTAAAACTTTTACTGACAAACATTTCCCTCGTACTTCTGCTTCTTGTAATAATAATAATAATAATAATAATAATATTGTACGATTATTTGTTATTATAAAATTATTAACCTGACACTACACCTGATTCCTTCTCTTCATATCTTGTTCGTACACAACACCTACACCACATTACATAAGAACATAAGAACTCTCCTTGCTGGGAAGGTCTATATCTCTTTGCTGGGAAGGTCTATATCTCCTTGCTGGGAAGGTCTATATCTCCTTGCTGGGAAGGTCTATATCTCCTTGCTGGGAAGGTCTATATCTCCTTGCTGGGAAGGCCTATATCTCCTTGCGGGGAAGGTCTATATCTCCTTGCTGGGAAGGCCTATATCTCCTTGCTGGGAAGGTCTATATCACCTTGCTGGGAAGGCCTATATCTCCTTGCTGGGAAGGTCTATATCACCTTGCTGGGAAGGTCTATATCTCCTTGCTGGGAAGGTCTATATCTCCTTGCTGGGAAGGTCTATATCTCCTTGCTGGGAAGGTCTATATCTCCTTGCTGGGAAGGACTATATCTCCTTGCTGGGAAGGTCTATATCTCCTTGCTGGGAAGGCCTATATCTCCTTGCTGGGAAGGTCTATATCACCTTGCTGGGAAGGCCTATATCTCCTTGCTGGGAAGGTCTATATCTCCTTGCTGGGAAGGTCTATATCTCCTTGCTGGGAAGGTCTATATCTCCTTGCTGGGAAGGTCTATATCTCCTTGCTGGGAAGGTCTATATCTCCTTGCTGGGAAGGTCTATATCTCCTTGCTGGGAAGGTCTATATCTCCTTGCTGGGAAGGTCTATATCTCCTTGCTGGGAAGGTCTATATCTCCTTGCTGGGAAGGCCTATATCTCCTTGCGGGGAAGGCCTATATCTCCTTGCCGGGAAGGTCTATATCTCCTTGCTGGGAAGGTCTATATCACCTTGCTGGGAAGGCCTATATCTCCTTGCTGGGAAGGCCTATATCTCCTTGCCGGGAAGGTCTATATCTCCTTGCTGGGAAGGTCTATATCTCCTTGCTGGGAAGGTCTATATCTCCTTGCGGGGAAGGCCTATATCTCCTTGCGGGGAAGGTCTATATCTCCTTGCTGGGAAGGTCTATATCTCCTTGCTGGGAAGGTCTATATCTCCTTGCTGGGAAGGTCTATATCTCCTTGCTGGGAAGGTCTATATCTCCTTGCCGGGAAGGTCTATATCTCCTTGCGGGGAAGGCCTATATCTCCTTGCCGGTACGATCACTAGATGTGTTTATTGTGTAATAATCGGGATCCGTGTGGGTGAGTGTAACTGCTAGATCTTTAATGTGAGAGTAGTGTACCTGTGAATGTGTTGGAGCTAGGAGTAGAGTGCAGGGAGGGAGTGTGGGTGTGGGAGTGACGGTTACAAGGCTTCGCCCGGCGGGGGTACAGGATGATGGGGGGAAGAGGAGGAGGTACCGGGCGGTCATAATACTACCACCTTCGCTTTCTGCTTTACTTCTCACTGTGATCAATATTATTTGAACTTTTTCGGCAGAAGACGTTGTACGCATTTCGAGTACGAGTAGTGTGGGTAGTTGTATAATAATATGATTAGAGGCAGAGCATCGGTTGATGCTCTCAATCGATAATGTTGCTTATATACAATATTAGGCTAGCTCCGGACACACACTATCATCGTAGGTTGGCTAGGCTACCTATCCCTGAAACTGTGAATGGAGTTAATTATCTTCAAGTGAAACTAAGGTTCCTGTTAGTAAAGTTATGGATGGCGGTGGCTTCCTCGGGTCGGCATGTTATCCAATAATCTCTCACTGTTAGGCTACCACATATATATACATACCTTTTTACGTTATTTTGGCTTATTTGTGTCTCCACCTTTATCCAGTACCTTTCTTCCCTTGCATCCCGCTTCCATTCATGCTGAATACTGTCTCAATCTTCCTCAGGGAGGGGATATATCCTAAGGGAGCCTACACAGATTTACGTATGCACTACATAAAGTGTTCGATGTGTCTTTTACGTAGTGTCATTAACGTGCATTTACAAAGGTGAAATGTAATTCTGATCAGCTTCCACATATACTTTATACACATACATATACACACACACTCATATACGTACATATATGCATACATATATACACACATGCATACACATACATTTGTCTCTCTTACACTGACAGGGTGAGATAAGTGAATGAGAAACTAGTGTGCAATTAAGCACTTAATCAGTGAAGGTGATTAAGGTGCTTAAGGTGCGGTGGAGGGTGAGGGTGAGGGTGTGGGTGAGTAGTGGCGGCACAAGGTGTGGTGGGTGATTTCCACACGCAGGATGCAGTGTCATTAGCCTCACTGTCCCATGCACACTGTAGCAGTCACAACACCATCCCCGGGGCTAATGCGACTGACAGCTTCATGACCAGTGAGGCGCACACGTGCACGCCCTCCCAACACCATGCACGCTTGCGCGCGCTCTCTCTCTCTCTCTGTCTCTGTCTGTCTCTGTCTCTGTCTCTCTGTCTCTCTCTTTCTCTCTGTCTCTCTCTTTCTCTCTGTCTCTCTCTTTCTCTCTGTCTCTCTCTTTCTCTCTGTCTCTCTCTTTCTCTCTGTCTCTCTCTTTCTCTCTTTCTTTCTCTCTTTCTTTTACACGCGTGCGTACACACACACACACACACACACACACACACACACACACACACACACACACACACACACACACACACACACACACACACACACACACACACACACACAGAGGGGGCCTGGTGGATAGCGCGCAGGTCTCGTAATTCTGTGGCGCGGGTTCGATTCCCGCACCAGAAAGAAACAAATGGGCAAAGTTTCTTTCACCCTGAATGCCCCTGTTACCTAGCAGTAAAATAGGTACCTGGGTATTAGTCAGCTGTCACGGGCTGCTTCCTGGGGGGGGGGGAAGAAAAAAAGTAGTTAGTAAACAGTTGATTGACAGCTGAGAGGCGGGCCGAAAGAGCCAGAGCTCAACCCCCGCAAACACAACTAGGTGAATACACACACACACACACACACACACACACACACACACACACACACACACACACACACACACACACACACACACACACACACACACACACACACAGGAAGCAGCCCGTAGCAGCTGTCTAACTCCCAGGTACCTATTTACTGCTAGGTGACAAGAAGATCAGGGTGAAAGAAACTACCCATTTGTTTCCGCCTCTGCCGGGGATCGAACCCGGGCCCTTAAGGATTACGACTCCCGAGCGCTGTCCACCGCGGGGCTTTGTCTGTGTGTACTCACCTAGTTGTGTTTGCGGGGGTTGAGCTCTGGCTCTTTGGTCCCGCCTCTCAACCGTCAATCAACAGGTGTACAGATTTTTGAGCCTATTGGGCTCTATCATATCTACACTTGAAACTGTGTATGGAGTCAGCCTCCACCACATCACTGCCTAATGCATTCCACCTGTTAACTACTCTGACACTGGAAAAGTTCTAATGTCTTTGTGGCTCATCTGGGTACTAAGTTTCCA